TACATTCTCTGTATTTGCGACTTCAACGTGAAAGCAACCAGGTATTCCACTTCATAGGTACCTGGAATATTCCACGACTGAAGCCGCAAATGTTAAATTTCATCAATCAACTTCACTTGCATTAGAAATAGAACTCTTACATGTTTTAAGTGGAAGCATACCTAACACTCATTTTGCATAGAAGATTGTCTTAACAATCTCCGAATATATGCATGCTTGACGACCATACAATAAGATTCCGTCGCAGAATAACTGAGATACACAGAACCGGAGCAAGGCATTATCTGAACAAATTTTAGCCGTAAATAATTCGCAAGCAATCCATTAACGAATGAATTATTCATCAATAAATTCCTTCTGAATAAATTAGTCGTGATTTGTTTTCAATTTGAAATGTTGTAAAACAAATGTTTTTCTATAATCTCTGATAGGCAGTTAGTTGAGTGGTTTTACTTTATCACGAATATGTATTCTATGTTCATTATTCAAATAACGAATAAAATAACACTCGCCATTAGAATAACCATAATAATTTTTCTTTGAGCAAACTAAATTATCTATTATTTACGAATAACGATAAATTTTACCCAGCTCTACATACATATGTATGTATTTAGTTTTTTCGCAGCCTAATAAGAGTCGACTCTAACGCTTATACGTATGAACGTTTAACGACTCAGTAAAAACTTGCATTATAAGGTGATGGTTCTCTACCCGAGTTCCCCCGGGGCGACCTGGTAATATAAAACCGACCATCGTGAGATCTACATATGCCAATAATAATGAAATAAAAGGGGCCATTCTGCCCAACAACCGATCCTCCTCTCATGAAAGAATTTTATATCTACCTGATCTCCTAATAGCTAAAATATTGTCGTCACCAAAACCTTTCTTTCGTTAACGTTTTCTTTTCTTTCAAGTTCGAAACGTTCAATAAATATAAATGTTCAGAGCTCAATTAGCTGTCTCTTAGCCATTTTACAAAGAAAAGGAAATGTTGGGAAAGTCTTAAGTTGTCTTGTGAATTGTAGGAATTTGACATATCCCTTGTTTTACCTACGCAAAAACTGTATTCACAAAAGACCGATTTGATTTAACTCGACATTTGTTAATTAATAAATTTGCGTGCTGGACCGAAATGGAAGTGAAGAGTAATACAAATGTATTACGACAATAACTCCAATAAAAAACGGGCTGTATAAAGAATACCAGCCAATTTTGACTTCTCGTTAAATGCATCATGCGTTGATGCTTGCTTTCAACCGATGTGAGAAACAAAACTGATTTCAAAACAACTGAGTCAAATAACTATATGTGTCGGTATAAACAAGGTAATAACCTGAGGCATACGTACATATATAACAAGGTTAAGGTACTCACGGTATCCGGAAGAAATTACCAGCCAAACATAATGAAGGTTTCCACTACCGAGAAATCCGCGGCAGGACGGTGGCTTTTATCCAGAATTTGCACTCCTAACAAAGCACGTTCGTATCAATAATAGTGGCTGTTAGGAAAACCGGAAGCATTAAGAAAACGTAACAAATAAAAATAGGTAAAATCAAGGCAATTAATATAAAAATTAAACCCTTGGTGCAACTACGAGCGACGTTGCCCCAAGGCGTTCGCATTATTTTGTAAGATCTCGTTTTTGGAATAGTAGTTTGATACCTTTTTTATTACTTGTATCACGTACCTTAGCGAGTTACACGACGTCGACTTCACTTTTGCATTCATCAACGCAATTCCAATGTGCAAATTATACACGTCGTGGTGGAAAATTTGCGTTCGCGTTTGATTAAATGCACTCGATTGGATCAAAAGCTTCCGTAGTTTCGCTAGTTGAAAGTAAAAGAAATCATGGAGTTTTTGTTTACTTTTTAAATATTCATTAACTTTAATCTCGCATTTATGTTTACTGAACTTAATTCACTTACTAAGTATTTAAATGAGAATGGTATTTCAATGTACCCCACAGCGGTGCCATCCCCACACAGCCGACAAGTGTCTGGCATCGATTGTAATTTGCCAGTCTCTGAGCGCATAATGATCTTCTTCAGGGGCGCCAGTATACTGCCACACTTGCTGCACACCAGTGTGTGTGTCTTATCAGAGTTATGAAAAAGACGATCTTGCAGAAGAAAGGCGGCACCATGTGAGATCAAAGCATCACGCTCCATCTCTCCGAAACGGACACCACCACCGCGCTTGCGACCCTTTATGGGCTGTTGCGTAATAGCATCAACTGGACCTGTGGATCTCACTTGCCACTTATCGAACACCATGTGACGAAGTCGTTGATAATGAACTACACCAAAGAATATGTCTGCTGCCCGCGCAGCTCTGCATGGCATACAAGTGTCCCGAACTCGCAATACCCACAGAAATATTGGAAATGTAATTATCAATTAACATGCTCAACCGATCGGTGTCCTCTAACTTAAACTTAGTTAGTAATTCAGTACTCAGTTCGAACATCTCGGCTGCGTTTTTATCCAGCGCATGTGTAGTCATATAAACACCTAATAGGTATGATTTACTATCGTATATATTCTCAGCGAAATGTAATTTAAAATCAATCCCAGCTGTCTTGGATAAGACCAACTTGTCGAATTCTCTGAAAGTGTAATTGTTGGTACCCATATCGTTAATGACATCACAGAAAAGGGGCACCAACATAACTTCATCGTGATTTAAGTTGGCACCATTAAAATGTAATTTTAAGTACGAAATGTCGTTTGTATGAACATGACACACTTGCGTTGGCACGCTGCAAATGCGCAGAACTTCGATTGAGGGCATTTTCGGCATTTTCTGCACATCAGACAAATCTAGACAAGGGAGGATTTCCAAATTTGGATGGCCTTTTTGAGCTTGGTCCAATTTTATACCATTTTCATAGACTTCTACACGTTTTATATCATCAAGAGCCATTATTTTCTGCTTTAATAAATCTAGTTCTGCTGTTTTGAAGTTGTCCTCATAATGGTCGTCGGGAGACATAGTTAAAGTGAGACGATGTGAATTCGTTGCAAAATACTGTTCAACCTTATGTTGCAAATACTTTGGATCCTTTGCAAGGTTGTGACGGAAATTAGCAATCATATTAGACACCCGCAAACTGGACACCACATCGCCATCGTGATTCCACAATGGAGTAGAGTTAAATAGCAAACCCATACCAAATTGTGGGCTCTGGTGTTTAAGTAATAACTCGATGTTGTGTAGTACACTTTCTACGTGACTAAGCTCAAATCCTTCCGACATAACTTGCTTAATGGTTTTGTCATAAAGTTCTTGTACACGTGCGAAGTCCTCTACGCGCAAATCTTGCAATCCCACACAAAAAAAAGTGTCTTTTATTTGTGGGTCATAGCCCGTTGCCTGATTATATCCACCAGAGAAGTTAGGCTCGATAAGGCTCCTGTAAAATGATGAATTTGGTCCACGCACCAGCAATTCCGATAGAACATGCAGCACGAATGTTTCTTGTGTATCTGTTACATCTGACATTAGAAGAGCAATACCAATTTGATTTTGTTTCTCGAAGGGTGCTCCCATGTTATCAAAACGGCTAGAGATATGAACATTACGTGGTTTATCCCAGCGTGGCTGGTTTGGTATTCGGCTATAAGAATTATCAATAGCATTATACTTGCTCATATATTCATTATTAACATAATCGAGTGTCCTTCGTAAGTCGAAATTGCCATAAGTATATATACGAGCATTACTTGGATGATAGTATTTGGAGTGAAAATCTACCAGATTCTTGTGTGTTAGCTTTGGAATTTCGAGTGGATTGCCGCCGGATACAAATCCGTAAGTGTGATCCGGTAGCAAATTGTTAAGCAGGTTTTGGGAGAACACTGAGCCATTTTCAGAGAAAGCGCCTTTCATTTCATTATAAACGACTCCCTTTAAAACGTACTCTGAAGACTTATCATTAATGTTTGAGTGCTCCAAACGCCAACCCTCTTGCAGAAAATCCATCATTTCAGGCAAATATCCATCAATTTTCAAAGTACGTAGTCTGTTTACAATATAGCAATTGTAAATTAAAATTGTACAATTAATAACCTACAATACTTACCGCTCAGCCTCGTGGCAGCTTTATTTTTCTTCAATGACATTTTTATTCATTGAGGATATTGCAAAGTTTGCTGCAGGTGATTAGAGACGACTTGTCAAGGCTAGGGATAGAGATGTGCAATAAAACTCGGTACTTTTGAAAACCCGGTTTGTTTCGTTTTTGCTGTTTGATTAATTAATGGAAATCCGTTTCGGGTTTAGTATTTTTTTGTTTCGGTAGATAAATAAAAACCCATCTAATAAATGGGTGGATACCAAATTTCTTCGTCATAAATTTGTTAATTTGCTGAAGAACATTTTTTCATTTATAAGGGTTCAATTTATTTTTGCACCCTAGTCAGTTTTTTAACCCCGTCTCATCACGGAGAAAAGTTACCGATTGGCACACAGCCTAACTTTAAAAATGGTTATGAAAGATTAAAAGACAACCGGTTCTTTGAAAAGGGCGTCCATCTCTAACTAGCAACGGCGCCATCTGTTGTTCGTGAGCAGAAAACATAAGCGACGACATTCGCTCAAATGGAAATATCCCACTTACGTACGTACGTACGTATGTACTTGCATATGTGCGAATTTGTGACAATAAACTCTACTATTAGCATTCGGCATGGTAAAGTTCACTACCAACCAAATATTGGTTTTTGCCACTCTTCTTCTGGTGGCAGGAAAAGGTGAGAAAACAAAGCTCACCATAATCATCATGTAATTTTGCATTTTCTCGTTCGGGAAATTGCTGTCAAATTTCTCACACGTATGGATGGCCACCCGTATGAGTTTGGTTTTTTTTTGTTAATTCTCACATTATTATTCATTTAATTTATGTCAATATGGCAGCTCACGGATGAGCGTAGATGTCAAAAATCGATAAAAATTTATCGCTAGATGTATATAAAGGAGCAAACACAATCTTCATATGCTCAGGTAATATTGCAATATTATGCACCCCTTACACGACCAATTGAACACGTCAATCATAGACCAACACCAACGTGGGTTTAGAGCGCGCAAGCAATATATGCCAATTCACGGTTCTATAATTATATGATGTAATTCTCGCCACCCAACCATAAGTACCATGATATTAAGAATAAATATCAATAATAGCAATGACTTTACGATCGAAACATCGACAAAATAACCATTTTCAGGTAATAATGACTCGCTATACAATGCTAAGAAAGAAAGCGGAACGCCGCACTGATCGTTATCCGATAGCGTGCCGACTTTGCGATGGTAAGCACCCGATCAGATTATGCCCGGTATATCGGGCAAAGGCCCCGGAAGAACGATTGCGAGAGTCTCTGCTCGGGCGGTTTTGCAGCAATTGCCTATCAATGACGCATCGCGTACAAAGGTGCACCAGCCGGGATCGATGCCGTAGATGCCACGATAAGCACCATACCACACTGCACATCGACGAAGAGCCCATTGACCGAAGACCTTGGAGCCAGCAGGTCGCCAGCGAGGAGGAACGAGAAAACGTTCTGTCGATTTACGCCTCGGACTCCGGAACGAATTCCCAATCGCTGCGCCCTGACATCGAAGAAGGCGAAATAGTTGAACCTGTGGCGGAAGCAAGTACTAATCTCCCGAGTTCAACGAGGGGAGCGGAAACCCGGACTTTCCGACCCCCATTGAAGCATGAGACACGGGTGGGTGGCCCAGAGACAAGGATTTTCCGATCCCGGCAACGGCAGCGCCGTGGAGCGGAAACTCGGTCTTTCCGCCCACGATCCACAAGAAAAGCGTCGTACCGTCAGGACGAACGGCAACGGCAGCGCCGTGGAGCGGAAACTCGGTCTTTCCGCCCACGATCCACAAGAAGAGCGTCTTACCGTCAGGACGAACGGCAACAGCGCCGTGGAGCGGAAACTCGGTCTTTCCGCCCACGATCTACAAGAAGAGCGTCTTACCGCCTGGACGAACATCGACAGCACCGTGGAGCGGAAACTCGGACTTTCCGCCCTCGGCACATAAGCAACGCGATTTCCAGATGCAACGAGCAACGGGGTAGACTGGAGACTCGGCCTCGCCAGCTACCCATCGCCTTTAGAACTGGCCAGGCAACACTTACCGCGCAGACCTTGAGACCATTTACGGCAATGTCTCCCACAGCTGTTGTCAAAGTAGAATCGGGAGGACGCCTACATCTTGTACGCGCTTTAATCGATGTGTGCGCGCCAACGTCCGTGATATCCGCCGATTTGGTGCGGGAATTAGGACTGGAGGAGATTGGTCTCGGGAACCACCAAAGCTGCATGATCCGGCTGCGAGGGAAGTATGGGCAAACTACGAGGGTGTCAGTACACGCAACAGTAGTGGCGAATTACGTGCGGATGAGCCCTACCGCCAGCGTCGACCGCTCGATAGCCGCAACCTATACCAACATTCGTTTGGCAGACCCCAACTTTTTCGCCTCAACTCCGATTCGCTTGGTGCTGGGAGCAGATGTTTACCCGGAGATCCTACTGCCGGGCACCCTCCCTACCTCCTTCGGCCCTCTCGTGGCACAAAACAGCATTTTCGGCTGGCTACTGTCGGGGGCTTGCCGATCCTGAATCAAAATTTACTCATATCTATATATAAACAATTTTATCATCGATTATGAATTACCGACTGCAATATACATTTTTTTTCTTGAATTTTGAATAAAAATACATTTGTGCACTGAAATGTCAAGCCATGTCCTGTTTATTTAATTTCTTATCTCCCACAGGCTGAAAAATCCGAAACGAGCATCAATGGTGATAACTACGTTTCCAGCTCTACGAAAATCAACATTTATTTTTTCAATTCCTTTAATTATTCGTAGGAGTGGTGGCTGACTTGATTTACTGCTGTTGCATATAGCAAGGAGGGCCGGCATGTTTAGGCCTAAAGGCTAAACCAAATACTTAAAAGGGTGAACCACCCTAACGTTGAATTTTATAAATGTGCAACGGATGCACATATACATAGACAGCCTGATTAAGGCGAAGCCGTTAGCATGTACCAATATTAGTTTACCGCTTGAATATCAAACTTCGTTAAGTTTCCCCTCCAAACAGTTTGCTGCTTGGAGGTCAAACTTAACTGCGCAAGAATTAGCGCGGGCACTTCTAGCGAGAACTCAAGGATCAACGGACGTCTGCCAGCCATCACTCCTGCGCACTTATCAAGGTAACATTGTAACCTAGCTTTAACCTTAGTACATGTATATTGAATAAACCGCCACATACCAATTTATATGAAGTATACTAAAACTTGGCCTTTTTATTTTTTCCTGTTTTTCAAATAAAAACACTGGTGATTTATTGGAGTTGCCAAACCACATAATCGCCACGGTTTTTCCATGGTCCTTCGAGCCGGACCGGACGGTTTTTCCATCTACTTTGATTTGAAAGATATTTGATTTAAAGCTCAGCTAAGTTTAGTCAAAATCAAAAAAGGGTTTTTGTGATTAACATTTTTCAAATTTGGAAACGTAGTGTTCATAAACGGCAAACGATATCTATATATATATACATATATAATACGCGAAGAGATTTTTTGTTCAGGATAAAAGGTCTACACCGTTCGCTCGATTTTCAAAAATGGGGTGTCAAATTAAGGCGCTTGGCCTGCAGATGTGCAAACTGGTTTTTTTTTTCCAACACAGTTGCCACCTGTAGAACAATTGAATTCAAATTATTTAATAAGTAATGCCAAAATAACGGCGCCGTTCGTTCGATTTTCCCAAATGAGGTGTCAAATTAAAAGGCTTGGGCTGCAGATATGCAATAAGGTTTTACTTTTTTGAAAAAAGTTGCCATCTTTTAAAAAAATGTATACAAATTATTTAAAAAAATGAAATATTACAAAATGGGTATCATTGGAAATGGTTTTGAAAATCTTTATTTCTTAAATAAACTTTAGGAGGGTTGCCACCTGTTTAAAAATCAAATTAATTTTGAATTAAAAAAATTAAATAGGGAAAAAAATTCCAACATATGGGTGCCAAACGAAAAGGGGCTCAGAAAGTAGCAGTTTGAAAATGTTTTGAAGTAGGTTGCCACCTGCTTGAAATGTCGAATTAAGTTAACTTATCCAAAAGTTATGAAATGTCAAAATATGGATGTCAATCGAAAGAGTGTTAAGAAGGCTTTAGTTTAAACATTAAGAATATTTTTGCGGTGTTGGAAGAGGGTTGCTACATGTCTAAAAATTTATTTCAAATTATTAAATAAGTTCAAGGAATTATTAAAATATGGGTATCAATCGAATGGGTTTGAAAAACCTTTACTTCTGAACTATATTTAGTGGGGTTGCCACATGTTGAAAAAATAAAATTCAACTCAATTTATCAGTTAATTAAAATATATATCGCAATGTTAGACGAAGAATATTTAAGAATTTCTTAGCTCGAAACTACTTTTGGAATATGAAGAGAAAGGGTGTTAAAAAGAACTTGAGTTTGAACGTTTAGAATGTTCGAAAAGGGTTGCCACGTGCTTATAAAGTGACATTCAAATTATGTAAGAAGTTGGATGAATTATAAAAAGATGGGTATCATCGAAATGATTTTGAAAAGGCTTTATTTTATATTTAGGAGGGTTGCCACGTGTTTAAAAAATTCCACTCAGCTTAAATTAGGGCAATTACCTAATTCAAATATGTGTTTTAAAATATGTTAAGAAATCTTTAGCTTCAACACTATAAATATTTTTTTATTTTTTTTTCAATTCAACTTTGTAGAAGTTTACTCGAAAATAAATTGTATAACCTGAAAAATAAAGACCTTGCCTTTTTTGAAATTAGAAACTTTTTATCGGGTGATTTAAAATTTGATAACGTTAAAAACCTACTATGCGAAACGGCAGAACCGATTTAGAAGAAATATGACACTCGAATCGCTTATACCTTACTAAGGTAAGGTTTTTGAAATTCTATCTTGGGTGTTTTAACGCCGCACAGTGGACCAAATGTTGAGCCTGGTGCGAAATTGGTCAAAAAACGTGGTGTTAACAAAACAGAATTAATTATCGCATTTATGCTTGCCATATTTCTACCTTGCTTAACGTGAGGAATTAGTTTTCATAAAAATTTCTT